GCGTCATTGATCTAACATAGTGCGCGTAGCTGCGGTGGCTAAACGTCGCTGGAAATGCAGCCGATTTCACAATGCGGTCTGCTTCACAATGAGAAGGCTCCTCCGTCGTAGATCTTTGCGTTTCCCAAAACGTGCGGGTTTTTGTGCGTCGTCGCTGAAAGACGACGAGCGTCAAAATGCCGAAGAGACGAACAAAATGAAACGCGCTTCGTTACACCAGAATTCTCCAGCAATAGCGATTGAATTCTAGAATATAAGAATTTCAATCTTCATCGTCAAATACGAAAAGCGGTTCAAAATGAATGATGCATTAATTAAACATTCTGTATTTTACACATATTATAATTCCCTTGGTTATTCTGAAATTTTTCTGGTTTTCCAAGAAGCGTATAAATAAGCTTGAAATTTTAATATTTAACCAGTTTTAGAAAAATTTTTAGCAAAATTTAGTTTTAGAAACCTCTCATAGGGTTGGGTCATGGAGTGCGTAAATAAATACGAGTGACGACTAGTATACACGTCAAACGCATCGAAATAAAGTTTTTATTCGACTTGTGTACTCGTCAAACGCAGTTAACCGGTTAAACATGTTCGTATAAATTTTTAGTTTAGAAACGTATACCAGGAATGAGGATTCAAAAACTGTCTTGCGATATTTTTATGAAAATATAAAAAAATTGTTAACGAAAATGTACGTACAGAGAGGTAAACTAAACTAAATTTCACTCACTCACAGCAATGTCGTGAACAGATGTGTACGCCTGGTATATTCAAAAATGTATGCAAATTAACCGAGCTCATAAACGGGATAACAGTATTGTACGCATCCATAATAAACATAAATTAATGATACGTCAAACCGAGTTTAACGTAGTTCGTGAACCGAATGTGTATTAAAGAGGTCAAAGGTGACACGAAAGTAAATGTTTTAATCCCGATACATTTGCTGGAAGTTGAAAGAGACACTTTCTCGTTCAACAACTATGACGTATAAATATACATCCATTTGGAAAATGATAAAGCACCTTGAAGCGGAACAGCAAACTGCGGGACAGACATTAATATATTAAGCCGTACATTAATTTTTTATTCGAATTTAAAATTCTATCCAGCCACGTTCTCCGGTCGAATAAATTCTACTTTAACATAACGTTAAACATCGCATCTATTCGACGAATGGTGTTTCGATATTATGAAAGGAAGCAGGCCTTTGTAAAGAAGAAATTCGTTATGGTGCTTGTGCAGTGGTCGCGTTCCACGTTTTAAAAGAGATTCCCGGCGTTGACGTTGAAATCGCGCCTCGCCATTGTCCCTTTGCACGGCAAACACGAAAAAACGGTTTCAATTTTCGAGTGCCCGCACCGTCGCATCGTGTCGGTTCCCTGTTCGTCTTGTCACCAGAGTGCTTTCCCCTTCGACGAAACAACCCCCGCCATTCTGGTTGGATCTCGAGTGCTGTCGCGCTGACTCTTTTCAACTTTGATCGAGCGCCTCTTCAGTGCGCATAAAATGAAATGAATTAGCGCTCCGGAACCGGAAAGCCTTGGTGTTCACCCTCCCGCTTATTTCCCCTACATCGCGTTTCTCTTTCTCTTTTACCCGATCGTTTTAACTCTCTCTCGTTCCCTTTCGTATCGTCGTTTGTTTCCAGACGCGAGAACCGTTGCGGTTTCCCTTCCCAAAAGGTTTTGCGACTACAATTTTTCTCTAGTGTCGCGAGCTGTTAGAACTCATTAATATCACTCTCAGGGAACCCCGTTGCAATGCTACGATTAGTTTCAACATTCTCTACCAGCGTAGAACTGCAGAGCGTTGTCGTCAAAGCGAATTTGTCAGACATTTTATTTCCTTTTCGGTAAGTTCGCCGTCGCTTTATCGAGCTTAAGCCCTGGCGCCCGACCTTTTATCTTGGGTTGATTTATTCAAGGTCGTGCAAAAACATCTCGTCAAATCGATACCAATATCGTCCCTCCCCTCGTCGACACGGCTAAAGCTAATGGCAATCACCGTATCATCACGTAATTACAATTCCAATAGCAATCAGGGCGACATAATCGGCAACGTGGTCACGTCACCGCTAATGAAATACCATAAACCGTTCTATCGCGTTTAAAACGATTAAACCAACGTTTCATAGATCTCACGAGATTTTCCACATACGTTTGTGTGGAGATCGTGTTTATTCAAACGTATTCACAGTGGTAGCCGCGTGCACACAGGAAATGGCACGAAGGAGAGATACGTATTTAATAACGTTAGAGCGTTGCGAGTGAGCTGGGTAGCCGGTTCCCAAGGTCAGTTTAATTCGCTAATTGGCTTCACCAAAAGTTTCCATGGTACAAAGTCGAAACCTGTCCAATAATCTGACTCTTCGTTAGCTGAAATCCCCCTATTTCCAGGTGTTTCTGGAAACTCATCTAACCACGCTTCGTTTCTCTCACTAACTCTCTGTCCATCTCGTTGACTCTAGAACGGTTCAAATATTAATAAATCTGTAAGAGAGCGCGCTTTCCTGTATCTGCATATCAGTTGCATCGCCCCGGGATCGGATTGAATTTGAGGCGTGAGGAGACTGTGCACCCGGGAGTCCGGAAAATTGAATTGCAGCTCGGCCGCCGGCATCACAGCATTGCAGCGATGCAGTCGCAGAATCATTTATGCCGATACAGAATTTAGCGGAGGCTTAATGGAGCAATTGAACCGCTCTGGAACGGCCGACCTGGAAACCTATTGCTGTTCGATGATTAGAGGAGAAATCGAACGACAGGCTACTTCGACGATCAAAACGACGATCAAAAGAAGAAGAAGTCTATTTTCGTATTTATTTTAAATCGCAATAGAATTCCATGTAATACAATTTAATACAATGTCACATCTCGTGGTTGATTTTATCGATTCGAGCGATTCGCGGGACGTCGGAGCTCGACGTGGAAGGCACGTTAAATAAGTTGATTACCCGGGTCTCGGGAAAATCGTACTTTGGAAGCGAGACAAATGGAAACCCAAGAATTCGCTGCACGCTAAAACGACAACGTGATTACGACAGGACTGCAACGTACTAGCGTTTCGTCAGTTCGTTTCGGGCAAGGAAAGACAAGCTTCTTTTAGTCTGGAAAGTAAACGTAACTCACGGGACAGAGTGCATCATTATATATCTTGTAAAATAGGAACAATCGCTTCTGAATTCCAATGCTCGACGTTTCAGTGCTTACCACAAAATCTTTCATGCATTGTGCCCGCGTTTCATGGGAACTGAAGGTTCGCAATTTTTCAACTGTTACGAAAACTACTCCCGGTGAATAGCAACGATACCTTGAGACGTAATCGATTTGGCTCACTCGACAAGATGCAAATTCCAGTTAAATGCAGGTTAAGGTGACGCGCGCGTTAAAAGAGCGAGAAATTCGCAGCGAATTAACGCCACAGCCACCACTAAACATTCAATAACGGGACAAGGTGTTCTTCAAAAGTACCGACCGCCCTTGCGCTTCACGCGAGACCTTCCCTTCTCTCAACTAGAATGTAGGAAGCAAAGAAAGCAAAGAATCGACGCGCGACGTTGACAATTTTTTGATTCGTAGACTTTTTCCCGTAGTCGGTCATTCATTCTCCTCGCGGATGAATGAATCTAGGCACAAACCGAGGAGTTCGGTGAAGATCCGTGAATGAGTGAATGGGTCCGAGAACGTCGAGGACCGAAAAAAAAGACAGCCGGTTTTCACGTTCGCTCGCCCGCTGCGAGCACGAAGGCGACACAAGTGTCCTATTGTAGATCGACGAGGATACGAGAGTGCCTCCGGCCATTGTCGTCTCGCTCCTTAACACCATTAACTACGTTTTACCTTAAATTTAACCCAAAGTGGGGGCCCTCTTGACAAATTTCTTGGATTTACGGCATCGCAGCCGATTTCACATCGACAATGACTACTATTCTCCGGTCATCGCGACTTTTGATTTCCAAGATCTTCTGTCCTTCGCGTTCTCGCTTCTCCGTGCTATATATTCGTACCATGCATGCTCCACGTCCGTCCTTAATCCGTTTCATTGCGGCTTCACAGTCGGAAAATCGTTTTACCGGAAGCTGGACACAGTACGATAACTCGCATGAGTTAAATGGCGTCCTTTACATTTGTAATGCCGCGCTGAGAGAAATTAATGGCTATCAACGTTGCTGGACGCTCGTATGCTGCCTATTTATGAGAATCCACCAGTGAAATTTTGTCAACGAATTTCCAGACTCTAATTCGGCGTGGAAACTTGGTAATTTGTTCCTGTTTATATGTCGATTATTCGTATCGAACGAAGACTTTCCAGAGGAACGAAGACGTTGCAAAATAACGTAATATTTTATATTAAGAGAAATAAAAGGCGCTTTCTTCCACCAAGATTTGTACAAGCAATAAATTTTTCGACCTCGATAGATAAAAAGAACGTTATTTCCAGCCAACTTTTCACGGATAAATAAACAGAACGACTCGACGTTATATTGCCTTTTTTTATCAGCTTCGACAATAACTTACACGACACACAAGGATCAATAGTCGTAGGTGTAACGATGATTCACTAGGTATATCAGTGAAACTGAATGTTAAATAGTATCGCGAAACTGACACGAAGTTATCGTGTTTTACGTTATGAAACATTTATCAATTGTCCAGTGTTTAACGTATGATTTTTCATGGGCTTGTGGAATTAGTTAAAACTCTCTACAAATACACCGACAAGATTGTTATGTTAGTATTCTTAATTCATCGAGTTATTATTACGAAATGAATTTCAGTGGAACGTTGTATCGTTCGAGAAACGAATAAACAAACGGGAACGATACGATATCGTCACGTGGTAGAATTTTTCGTCGTTAAAAACGATAACAATACACTACGCAAAATATTTCGGGACGAAGGTACTCATTGTGAAAACTTGGCGATAAGTTTTAATGATCTATTTTATTCTCTTTAAAAATTAGATTAAAAATATACAGCGTTCGCACACATTCTCTCTCTCTCTCTCTTTGTCTCTCTATCTTCCTATTATTCGTACAAAAATATATCTACAATATTTACAAGGCTCAGATAGAATTGTATTTACAACGACAGCGTAATGGAAAAACACGGAACGTGGTCGCAAAAAATCCTTTAGCACAGCGATCCTACCCCGTATTTTGTTCTTTACGAGTTGACGATTCTTTCTACGGTATGCTTGGTGCATCCTATGGCTCTAAACACAGGCCCGACAGCAGTGTCCTGAATCGTATTCTGATAAAAGGTCGAGCCATCGATCCGTCGCTTTTTATCGTCCGCTTCCTCGGCCATATCGCCCATATTCCTCTTCAAACCTCTAGATAAATTGTGAACGTTCCTCTCGTAACAATCGGCCATCACACTGACCCTCGAAAGATTTAATTTCTCCTCCGTTTCCTGCAAGAACCGTTGCGCACTGTCTGTCACGGGCAACGTTGGAACCGACTGCTCGAAACGATCGGCTATGGAATTCGACGATTCCTCGTGGCTGATCGTATCGGCGGACTTGTCAGCCGCGTCCATTTTCTCGTTTTTCATCGACTTCTCATCGTCCTGCTCGCATTTCCGACTCGATGCATCGTCGCTGCAGCCCTCCTTCTTCTTCCCGCATGTTCTCAGACAGCAACATTTCTGACTCTGACCGGAAGGTAGATCCTCTTTCTTGTATTTTACTCTGCGGTTTTGAAACCAAATTTTCACTTGTTTCTCGGATAACCTTAGATTCGTCGCGATCTCGATTCGTCTGAGTCGCGATAGGTACATGTTTGAAGCAAACTCGCGTTCCAGTTCCAATAATTGGGTACTCGTGAAGGCTGTCCGAATCCTCTTGGAGCTGTTGTTGATGGAGTTCGGTGACTTCGGCGGAGGCGTCGGGGTGCTGTTACGCGAGGGTGATTCGCACGGTGCTGAAACATCTTAAAGAATACGATCCCATTAGCATTGAAATTTTCCTAGAACATTTACGATGGATTCCTCTTGCAAGAAGGAAATTCTACTTCGAAGAATTTTATATCAAAGAATAGCAGGAGATATTTACCCGAAAGTTTGCTCGTAGAAGTATTTAAAGGCGATGGAGGACTCTGGCCAGGGACCGGTCGCAAGCTTCCCAAAGTGGGTGGACTAATTGGAACCGGAACGGGCATGACCGGTGGTCTCGGTACAGGTCTTATCGGCTGATAACCCAGACCCAGGTTGAAGAAATTGAACATATAGCTCGGCAATTGATTACCGTAATACGGCAACGGGTACGCAGGTGGCGAATTATTTCCGATTAATGAGTCCACGAGGAAACTTCGCGACATGCTGTTAGTGTATCTTCTATAGGCGTTAAACTTAGTCTGTACGGTCCTCTTCGATCAGGATGAACAACACTCGACTCGAAGCACTAAATAATCCTCCAGCCACTGAAGCGTTACTGTGCACAATCTCTCAATCGATTCGCTGGATTTCACCTGGTCGTTTGAACGATATCGTTGCATTCAATATCACCGAGGCCGCTGCTAACTTTAAGATATTCCTTCGTGCGAACCTTTGAACGATTAGAGTGGATGTTCCGGGATGGTAAATGGTACGAAAAAGACTTTCAAGACGAGATCCTCACAGTTCGATAGTATAACGTGCTCTGCACCCAGAAGGACCACCGCTCAAGCATATATACGGGGTGTTAACTCCACCCAGGGGTTGGTTTCTTTCAGGGCCCCTTTTGTACGGGGCCCCGCCCTTTCTCGAGGGTGCCCCCTTTCGATTCACCCTAAACGCGCGCGGGGGACCAAGCGGCTCGCTTCCCCTGGGATCGACACCGAGTAGGGCATTTTCTCGCAACGCTAATTCGACGGGTGGCTAATATATCCGGAAACTTTATACTACCTCCGTACCCATCTTTCAACTATTATTGGCCTACGCTAGGGCTCTAAACCCCTGCGACGTCTCCTTATTATTCTCGGTCACATTCGTTCCTCGCTATGATTTTGAAGTATAATTTTAAATTGGCGGAAACGATCGTCGAATCCGGCGGATACGTATACCGTAGGATTTCATTGAAATATCGTGAGTATTGTGTACTGTTTATATGTTTGTACAACGTGCATTCAGTGTGACTGCTCGTGCTATTCTTCTTGTTAATGGTTTGAGCTTCTAAAATTAGAGTCTTAAATAAAGAGAACGTAAAAACTTAAGACTGCGTTTTAACGAGTTAAGAAACGTTGAAACTTCACGCTCGTTTTTGCCGCCAGTTGTCACTTGGATTCTTACGGAACGGGCTAAAGAATCTTTGCAGGCAATCGAGATAATCTGGTGGAAGGGGACAGCGTAGTTAACACAGGTATCCAGCTTGTTTAAAGAAAGCGTCATTAGTGGTCTTCGCGGAAAAAGAATTTGTGGGCGTTTTATGCCAATCAAAGGGAACAAGCCGGGAACTTCCAACAAGCAGAGAATTTTCCAGGTAACGTTTTATTCTCTAGTAACTAGTTCGTCGAACGCAACTTACGTCAGTAAGATATTGAAAATATTTCTCATAAAGTGATAAAGCAGATGTCATCGATAAATAATAATATATGTGTTGGACACGTCTCATCAAAAACCCTATCAATCGTCTGCAAAATATTTTTGCAATTGCCAATGATGGAGGATCCGCCTCGTTAAATTTTTCATATCGAGTACGATTTTCCGTACCGAAGTCTTTTGAACGGTAATTTCATTTCTGCACCGACGTTCAATAACTTGGAAGATCCAAATCAAATTTCGAATGTACCTGAGACGCTGCAGCTTCTTTCTCTCTTTCTAGTCATAAGATTTGCATTGCAGGGAAATTCTCAATCGCTGAACGATCGTTTACGCTTTCAATAAAACGCATCCGTTGCCTTATCAGACAGAACGACCATCTTCATCATCCCATGTTGAACCAACTTCCAATGTTAACTTCGTAGATCGTTTGCAACATTTAACAAGCCACTTCTGCGATTTAATCCGGACGAGATTCAGTTCCGCTCCAAATTCTGTGCATCGTAAATTATTCCGATGCATAAATAACTTTGTTCACGTTGGGAATCAGGAACAGATAAATTTCATACAACGAAGCCTAGAGGATAGCGAAGTTTCGAATCTCTTTCGAGACAGAGTCGGCAGATTGTCGTACGAACGTTCGCAGTTGCGCGTTTCGCTATTCTATGGCCGAGAATTTTAACGATCTCGGTTATGCAAACTCTTAAGCGTGCACGATCGATGAAAATGGGTGCCAGCTTTCAGTCGTCGTCCTCCAGATATGCGGCTCGCAAATAATTTCTCGATGAAATACTTTTACCAACTATTAGATTTATCTTTTTAACGACATAATTCGCGTACCTCTGCAAACAATAACAACGATTCGAAAATTGCCGATGAATTCGAGTTTTATTATCTCCCCAGGCAACTCCATACCTTTAATCGATCGTTTATTAATTTAGGAAACGAACAATGCTACCCGAAATAACCGAGTAATAATAATATACCCGGAACAAAACGTGCCTAGGAGCAGGCACTCATATTGCGAAGCCGCGAAGTTAATTTCTTGATTACTCCGTGAATGCTTTATCGACCGTGTCGTACGTGGCACCCACTCGATGTTCAGAAACCGGAAAATTAATATTTAACGTCGAATAGCTCGTATCGGTGTCGTTCACTATTTCTACTTCGTCATTCGGGGCATATTTTCGTTGCGAGCAGAGTCGGCCCTTGGCACCTGCTACCTGATACGTAGAAACCAGCTACGAGATCGTACGAATTGTCACGTTCTGGTTCATATCATCACGTGTATCTCTTACACGATACGTGTGATATACGATAACGATGGCGTCGTTTACACGCGTTAGCCAGAAACCGATTTATATCTGTAACGATGTACACGTATCCTTTTCGAACCATCGCATCGTATCGGTTGTAACTCATGATGGCGTCGCGAAGAAGTAACATATCGGGACACGGTGGCAGAAATGTTACATACACGAGCAGGGCAACGACTTGTGAAATTTATCGAAAATTCCAAGTGGCTGATCCTCGAACATTTAATAGTACTTCCTTCGTTAGCAAATTCACACTAAACCAAGCACTCATCGCGAGCATAAGCACCCGAGATCCTATGAAAAACGAATTAAACGCAATGCAATGCTACAGCGGGCACTCGAGGAAAGATCAGAGAAGACGTAGCCGTAATTTTAAACCCTTAATAACGCGACTAATCCTATTACGATGTTACCAAGGCAGAGCGAGGAGGAGCGTGCACCGAGCCCCGGAACTCCTATTAAAAATCAGGGTAATGCTATATCGCGACCGGCTTGTGAATAATACAATGCGTATCTCTCTCTCTTCCAGCATATGTCCGGCGCATCCGGCTGATTCGAAGGGTTGCCGTACCCTCCGCGAGGGGTTGGAACCGCGCCACCCTTCGTACGCGCACCGAATATCGCAAACAAAGTTAGACGGGCCCGTACATAGCGTTCACGTGCATCGTTACTCGTGTTCCCCGAATCATTACGACCGAAGGATATTTTAATTTCACATACGACCCCTCCTTTAACCACCCCATTGGCTGGCCTTTTTATTTGGGGCGTATCCCATCTCCAAGAAATTCGAGGGCGACCAGCTACGGCTTCGTATTCCATTGAAGGCTGATGAAAGAGAAGAATAGCATATATTTTGATCAGATACTTCGATTCCTTTTTGAGAATGTTAATAGTCTGCGAATTCAGAATGTACGTGATACGCAATATACATCTCGACAGTTTTAGAACATCTTTTATCCTCAATTTAAGAATTTCCAGTACTTGACTGTTCGCTGGTAAAACCATTTTTTTAATAAAACTAATTATATATTTTTTAGTTAATACATTAGCGATATATTCTCTTTGCCGTATAAAATATCAAGTTAAGTAATATTTTTGTATCTATTAACCATTACTTAACTATTCCCAGTTTTAAGGCAAATATAATATCTACCTTAAAACTTTTGTGCGTGGATATTCCTTATGGTCTACTCCACGTAGATTTCACTTCTTTAGTTATGTTCATAGAAATATAAAATTGTACGAAGATCCAATCTAGATATTAGTCTCGAGGTGCATACATAGATACTCGAAAGTAATTAAAAAATGGATTTCAAACGTAGAAACAAATCCGTGCGATTGAACCGAATTCTAAAGCGAAATATCGATAGTCTGGTGATATATCTTATATTGACTATTATTGGTTGAAAAAGTCACCCCTAAATCTTTGTCCCTTAGGGCATCCCAGTATCAAAGTATCGAGAACGTTGTTCTCGAAGAGAATTCTATATAGGTGCCTCAAGATTTTCAATTTTCTTCACTTTGTCATCTGTTCTCCGCATATTTTGTGAAATATTGAAATTTCGTCGGGTATTTTCGAGGTACTACCATCAAACTTCCAACGTAATTTACCTATCTTACGTATTTCCCTAATATAGAATAAATATCCCATTTATAGCCGTCAATATCGTCCTCTACACATATGTATACGTATATTCAAAACTTCTATTCCGATCCAAAGCTGCTTTTCATCGCGTTTTAAAATTGTTGAATTATCTTCAATCGATAACTAATTACCTAGTAATTAAACCGAGTTGCAAAATTCGACAAGCTATTTTGAACATACGTTTGTATCTCAGAGTGGCTTATGAAGGCAGCAGTCCTCTAATTGCAAGCTTACTCCCAATTTCGCCTCTCTGTCTCTCCCTCTTTCTCTCCCTCTCTTTCTCTCCCTCTCTCTCTTGTAATATAATTCCGAGATAAACTTGGATATTTGCCGAAAAATATCAAAGTCGGATGTTAATGAGTTCCTCTTCGGCGATATCAAGAGTTGCCAGATGTAAGTTTCTTGGCGCGTGAACAAGAACGCCTCGGGGTCAATGACGAGCCAAATATTTAACGAAACGTGTTAACTCATTCGCGCGGAAGAGGGTTGGAAATAAACTGCGAAATTCAACGAGAACCGAAATCGAAGAAGGCAGTCTATTATTCGTGACAACGCCGGAGGATCACCGAACAAATATTTTAAGCGACGTTTGCGTTAAGCGAAGAGATATGAATTGGAAGACAACTTTCCATCCGGGCGCAACAGGGGCTTCCATGGTGATCAAATCTGTTCCTTCGTTTTCGTTCTTTTCTTTTGAGGCTTCGATTTACATTAAACTCGTATAACTTGACAACTAACTTTCTTTCAGAACTGTCTAGGAAGTTGTTCATAAGGAAGGTAGGTAATTATAAAACAGGAAAGTAAAGTATTTGATCCATTTCCGCGTGTTTCTGCAGACAGATAGCGGAAGACGAAGAGAGTAGTAATGCCTCGCGGAAGATGCTTGGAATAATGAAGATCTCACTCGAGAAACTACCATCAATCAGCTTTTACTTCTCGTAAAATCTTCGTGTGCTAACAAGTTTAAATACATTTGAAAAGAAATCTTATAAAACTCGAAAAACTCGAAACAAGTTTGAAACATGGTAACAACCTATCACGGATGGAAATCATCCAACGGCCTTGCATCAACCTATATTTTAATATTCCGTTTGAATTATTTATCGTTAAATTATGTTTCTTCCATATCTACTAACCAAGTAACATTTCTGCTTATCAAGAAACATAGTTTCGATAAAATGTCGACTTCTCCCCATCGGCCGTCAGTTACTAAATACAGCGCTAGCTGGGAGGATGCCAGGATTTTCCGCTAGCGATATTCGAGACAGATTTGATTTCAACTTCTTAAACTTCCCAGCCCAACAATAAAACTCGTGAT